GTCCGAGCCTGTACCATTGGTTGCGGAAATACGGCCCCAGTGTCACGGTTTCATTACAAAATGCATGAGCAATGTTGTAGGTACAATATTTTAATTATAATTCTCTGAAGAGAGAATTTCTGTACTTAATGACTACCTAGATATACAGACTGAGATACCCCTCCTCGATAAGGTTCTCTCTATGACTTGTCAACTCAGACTCTCCGATAATCGCCTGTAGATCCTTAATACTTCTGTAACCCTCATGAACTCTCAGTAGGTTTCAACAAGGCTCAATGTGAATCATCTAGGTTCACTGTCATCCAAGATCTTCCCAGGAACTTCCCTTCGTATAATTGCCTGCGCTAGACAGCGTAGGCTACAGGAACCCTTGGGCTTGACAGCCGTCACACCCAGGAGCAGACGGAGTCTCCGTAAACCTGCTGGAGGCGTGTTGGAATACAATTGGGCCTTGGATTTCCCAACTGTTCCGAGCTTGCATTCTGCTTGGCACCCATCCAAAGTGTTTCAAATTAGCCGAGGTGGTTCTCCTTCAAAAGAACGATAGAGACCCAACGACAATCAAGGGTTGAAGACAAATCGCTCTTCTCTCATGCTTGGGAAAAGGGTTAGAAAGGCTCTTAGCTAAGCGGATGGCACACCTTGCAGTTATCCATGATGTAGTCGGCCAGCAACTGTTTGGTGCACTACCGAAGGGCTCAGCAACTGATCTGGTCTCCTGTGTGATCCACAACATCGAAGAGGCAAATTCACAAGGATGGGCAGCTACTTTTGTAACGTTGGACGTTCAAGGAGCATTCGACGCGGTACTCCATAATCGATTAGTGAGGATGACGCAGGAGCAGGGATGGCCGGAGTCTATTCTCAAATGGACTAGCTCCTTCCTTGCCAATCGGATGGTTCAAGTGCGATACTCTGGGGGAGTCACTGCCAAGGGAGAGCTAATGTGCGGAGTTCCACAGGGCCCACCGATCTCGCCACTTCTCTTCCTTTTATATATGGCAGAGCCCATGCGAAGTGGAACCCTGGGTCTGAGGTTTAGCTACGCCGACGATATTGGTATCCTTGGATTTGGCCGGACGATTGCAGAGTCTACAGCCGCAACACAGGACGAGGTCAATAACCTACTAGACTGGGCTCGAAATAATGCTGTCGCTTTCGATACAGACAAGTCCGAAGTCGTACAATTCCCCGGACGATACCGCGAAACATCGGTTGGAATTTATGTCAACGGAACTCTCATAAAGCCGTCGCAAAATGTCCGGTGGCTTGGTGTGTACCTCGATCCTCGACTAAACTTCAAACACCACGTCACAACTTGGTGTGGCAAAGCATTGAAAATTGCACAGCACATGCGTCGCTTCAATACAGCCTACCGAGGAGCCACTCCTGGGGCGTTGGTTGAAGCGATCGACACATGTATTGTCCCAATCGCAACGTACAGAGCTGATGTCTGGTGGCCTGGCCTTAGACGCCCAACAGTACGAGGGATGGTAACACCGCCCACTGCTGGCCTATGTAGTATGATTGATAAGGCTATCTTAATGGGTCTTAGGTCAGCACTACCGGTAATGAGGACAACCCCCAACGCCGTACTTCATAGGGAAGGGGGAATTCCAACCGGGAAAATCATTCTCGAAGGAAACCGACTTCGCCTCTCTGTCAGAATGCAAACACTCGACGACCGCCATCCGCTCAGGATCCGTGCTGCAGTTTGCCCAAATGTCGGTACGCGAAAATATAAAAAGCACAATCGAAAATCTGCGCGTCCTGAAATTCAAATGTCACGGGCTCAGCGTGCTTATAGACAGCTACCAGAGGCAGAGGCCGCGGAACCTCTTGCCCCACCATTTTATCAATCGCGGCCGGGTTCGAAGGTTGGTTTGAGAAAAGACCAAATAGAAGCCTGTAAACTTTGGATCACTAATGTGCCAAAGTCAGAAATTTGTGCTTACTCGGACGGAGCATCGGAGGGAAAGGGACGCTCAGCTTGGGGGTTTGTCCTAAAGCTGGATGGGAAAACTTTTCAAAAAGGAAGTGGCATAAAGCACGGTGGAGAGGCTTTAGATGCAGAGATTACGGGGGCACAAGAAGCTCTTAAAACAGCGTTGGGTCACCTAAGAGGTAAGGAGTACCTGGCGAAGGGAACGACGCAGTGCATTAATGTGTTGATGGATAGTCGACATGCGATAAATGCACTGAGCACGGGCAGGTCCTCGACCAGCCACAAGGAAGTACGAAAGTTTCGCGAATTGTCTGGGCTAGCTCAGGTAAGAATAAATTGGGTAGCAGGACACTCGGGACTACATGGAAATGAGGAAGCAGACGCAGCGGCCAAATCCGCCCTACGAACGCTTCCCAGCGTGGAAACTGAGCCAGCAACCACTACGACAGCATTTTTACACCAAAAATTGCATCGACAGCGACAGACTTTGCTCGATAGCTGGTGGAATGAAACTTACCCGTCACGGTATCGTGAGCTAGATCTGCTCATGCTCCGTCGTAAACCACTAGAACTGGGGCTTTCCAGGCTACAGTTACGACATCTCATTGCAGCCCGTACGGGCCATGGTAATTTCGCGGTGTACCATCGTCGCTTCAACAATCCGCACGCCATCACAGAGTGCATCTGTGGGGAGGAAACCACCCCTACCCACTTCATACATTGTCGACTCAACGCAAATATCACGCGTCGAATCAGAGGGTCATTGTCACACAATGCCTTCTTACACAAGCTACTCGGGCCTAAGTGCTTCGAGAGCTTCAAACAATTTGCGGAGGATACCAATTGTTTTGGGTATTCTCCTGTGCATCCATCTCCTACTCTCAGTGGATATCGAATATAACTCGTCAGGAAACTAAACCTGACAAAATGGGAATCGAGGCGAGGAGTATTGCTTCCCATTCTAAATTATTTGCAATTTATCTTTTTCTTTTGTCAATTTTGGGAAAAAGAGTTCGCGTCGGCGCATATTTTTAACTTACTGCTGGTTTTGTGGTGGTTCATGCGGTGGAATCAAGCTGGGTATGTCTTAGATGTAGTTCTGGCTGTGAACATCGGTCCTGTACTCATAGTGGATTTGGAGCTTTAGCTTAGGACTTGAATAAAACAACAACAACAACATACCCGTATCACGCCTATTGGGTGTAGGGCACATGCCTAATACGGATAGCAATCAAACTCCAACTCGCTTGCGCCCTCAAAATAAGGATGGGCCCTATAGCCTTAAACAGCCCAGCCATAACCAACCAGGCCTAGCCCGTAACAGCCCGGGCCGTATAAGGTTTTATTGTAAAGTTCGAGTGATTTCTATTTTCTCCGATGTGAGTAGTTCTCTATATACATAACATTTAGACCCAATTTCTATCACAGGCTTCCAACTGACTATGCGCATTCCCAACTAGAATTATTGAGATTCGTCTTATCTCCACCTAGCGCGTACCACTTCCCCATCAATGGTTGGTAATTCCAACTACACTGTTACACGTTGAGCTTAGAGTAACATCACAAGGAATTCTCATTACATTATGTAATAGTTCAACAGAAATTAGGATATCACAATAGGTTAACAACCATTAAGTACATCTACCTCGTCCCACCTAAATGACCGGACCACCTCAGACTTCACCCATGTGTTGAATCATGTCAAGCCCAACCGTCCAGAGAACACTCTTTAGGCGCGCCGAAGCGCGAATTCCTCCTCAGCTTCGGCCATCACGCGCCCGAGCCCTTAACACCTTCGCGATCTATAACTTTCCCTTCCATTCAGCCCCAGCATCTCCTCATCTCGTGCAGGGGTCATTTTCTTCACTGGAGGCCTCATCCTATCGCCCACCAAGACCTCCTCAGTTTGTATACCCTTTTGATCCTTCATGTAGCGTCCCTTTTTCCTTCAGCCAATCTCTTCATCCCAGAAACTTTGTGGAATATCCACCACTCTGGCCTTGGCCCATCGCTGCCGTACCCCTAACCGTGGAGGTCAAAAACGCGACTGAGAGCTCAAGCCGAGGCACCGGTGCCACAGCCTTTATCGAACGCTCTAGTTGGTGTGCCAGTGAAATTATGTACATATCTCGTCGGTGGCGACTCGTCTTAGGTCGAGTTGGTGGTGCCCTTGGCCGAGGTGAGGACGCATTTACGGCCGGTATTTCGATCGTACCTTCACAGCGACTGGCAGTTGCAGATGTTTGGAAATCCTATTGCTTCTTTGATTGCGATTTTTACTCTTAGATGAATGGGATTGTTTCAGTAGGTCGTGAGATAACTTTGAAGAGAATCTCAAGATGAGTTTAATTGGGAAAGATCTGCGAGGAAAAGCAAGACGACGAAGTGTGACAGCTATTTCATTACAAATATCAGATAGTGTTCTGTTATTTGCAATTAATGATAGGGGTGTAGATGATTGATATTGTTATGTTGTGTTGTGTTGTGTTGTGCAGTCGTGAAAACTAAGCAGGTTGGGTTATGGATAAAAGAAAAGGTTGCTGACAAGACTTCTTCTGACCCCCGTATCGGCTGAAACTGTTAATTGCACCAATTGCAGTAACTGGATCTTGGCTTTGGGAGGAATATCGCATCCCAAGAGTTGCAGCAGACACCACTGACAGGCGTGCAATTCTGTGTCTCCGAAATTTAGAAGTAATTCATCATTGAACAATTTTCACTTACGTTTCTTAATAGTGCCGCACACAATAGCTCTCTCTTTAACTTCTCAGACCATGTAATGTTCGGCAAATTTTTGATTTGGCTGCTTGAAAATATATTAAGTACTTTCTAGGGTATGATAAAGTCTTTTACCACCTACTGGATTTGGACTTCATGTTTTGGTTCATTTAGCATATTAAGGCAATTGCAAAAGGCGTTGTCCTGATCACCCAAACTTGATGTGCACTAATTACCATGCTTGATACACAATTTAATTTTTTCGAGCATTATTTCTAGCATGGAACATTCGTATTAATATAAGTTCTATAGGGACTAAGAGCATACACAAACTAGAATGACTTCAATTTTGCGAAAAAATCGCAACAGGATTCAAAGGGTGCTAGGTGCAAGGGAAATTTGTCATGGAGACCCATTCATCACTAGGTCAGAAACTATATGTCATGGTCAGAAACTTTCACACGCTTGTCTCCGTTCTAACTATCTTAGTACAAGAAAATAGTAAAATAAATCGTCTCTACAGAGTAGCTGTTAAAGATAATATAGTAACTAGAATTGACACGCCGACGACCTGCGCCTCCAAGGCCCTTATCGATTACAAGAGTCCATTTGAAGCAGAAGTTTTGACAAAGCTTCGCAATAATGGGAGATTTGAACTTGTGGGAAAAACAAAAATGGACGAATTTGGTATGGGGTCTCATTCAAGTTTCTCATCTTGGGGTCCGACAAGAAGAAGTTCCTCACTCTTACAAGATTATTCCCCTGGTGGAAGCTCAGGAGGAAGTGCCGTTGCTGTTGCAGATAACCATTGTGATCTTGGCATAGGAACGGATACTGGTGGATCGATACGGCTTCCGGCAGCATACACAGGTATTGTTGGATTCAAACCATCTTATGGATTGATCTCTCGATGGGGCTTAATTCCTTATGCTAACTCTATGGATACAATTGGATTTCTTACACGATCAGTTGCAGATTCTGAAGAAGCATTCAGTCAAACAAATGGACATGATCCTCGTGATCCCACTTCACTATCGATCAAAGATCGGGAACAGATCTTCTGCGCCAATAATGATGAGATTTTATTCTGGAAGTCACGTCTTTATAAGGATTCAGAAAAGCAAAATTCCTCTAAATGGCTCAAGAACATCACAATTGGATATCCGCTTGAATATAATGTTACAGGAATGGACCCTGGAATCCTCTCAACTTGGAAATCAACTTTAAGGCTTCTTCGTAGCTCTGGGGCAAAGGTTATTCCTGTTTCTTTACCGAATACTAAGCATGGGCTTCCCGCATACTATATCCTTGCACCTGCTGAGGCATCGTCAAATCTAGCAAAGTTTGATGGTATTCGTTATGGTACCACTGAAAATAAGTCCTCCAATGGTAATGAAACTCTTTTCGCGGCAGCTCGAGGTGTTAACTTAGGACCTGAGGTCCGTCGAAGGATCATTCTTGGCTCGTTTTCTCTGAGTTCAAATAAGATCAATAACTACTTTATTCAAGCTCAGAAGGTTCGAAGGCTAGTTCAGCGAGATTTTGACAGGATTTTTAAAGCTCAGAATCCGCTTCGAGAAGTAGAACAGTACGATATGTCACTATTGCACGAATCTATACCTATAACTAGTAGAAAAGGTCCGGATAAAGTAGATTTCCTTGTCGTACCAACAAGTCCAAGCTACCCTCCAAAATTGAGCGAAATCTCTGCCGAGAACCCAATAAATACATATTTGAATGATATTTTTACAGTCCCCGCTAGCCTAGCCTGCCTGCCCTCGATAAGTGTTCCAATAAGGGCAAAAGATTCCGACTTGTTTGCTACAGGTATACAAATAATTGGACAGTATGGCTCGGATTATGGTGTATTACGCCTTGGTCATGATCTGGAACAAATTTCTTGCAGCCACAAAAATTATGGTTCGAAAAATGACTAACAGAGTGTTTCTTCTTGTAAGACAATAAGATGAATCGCAATTCTTATATCTATACATTTATCATGTTTAGGAGATGGCTAGCTATTTCACTCGCCACTATGCGCAGTCGAAGCTTTGTGAACTTGAGTATATTAAACAGATTGACGATTAGCTTTTTTATCACATGTCATTACTATGAATCACCTTTAGTTGATAAAAAGTCTGCCTTTCTTCTTCCGAACCCTACTCTTAATCTAGAATGATTCTTTAATCCTCTCCTCTATTGCGCAATTACACTTCAATTATGGTAATCACTTGTGCGATCTTTATAGATCTATCAGATAGATGGATGATTGTAGGGCATACTTACTAATCTAACTCTCGCAGGATGAGAAAGCTATACGCTAGCAGGCCTCGCCCTTACGCTCACTCTTCCTCCGTCGCCTGGCTAGGCCCCACTAAATATTGTAATAGAAGCTATATCCATGACTTAGACATTTGCTTTCTATTAATATAATCTTAGTATCAAACTTTATCGGAATTTACCTTGAAGAGGCACAGGACAAATTTGAAAGTAGTATTCTAGAATTTCAAGGACTTACCTGAGATGAATAGTCACATTATTATTATCCATTTATGTCCAAACGAATAGTCACATTCGTTACCAGCTAAGAGAAGTCCAACAGCTGATTTAGAAGCATCCAACAGTATGGGTACCTATTTCATATAACCTTATAAAAAGATAAAATTAATTACTTCACTTAATACTTTATATCCTACTTTCGTGTCTGACATTTGGAATAGAAATAAAACCTTATTTCAAGGTATTAAAACTCCCTAGGCGACGCTGTAAGCGAACATTGTTTATTGACACCATCACTTACTACTGCATTAAATTATGGCTGACCTTAATTCTATCGAACTTCAGTATTTTGAGTGTCAGACGACGATTGAACCTTATCACCTCGACGTTGATGTATCTTTCAGAGAATCTGCAAAAATCATGCAGAAGAAGAAAGCTGCGATATAGACCAGTGGTCAGCTAATAAGGAATGAAAGCACTTGTGACCGGAACTTCGCCCTCTAAATACGGAAAAATAGACACAGTCTTGAGAAACTATTCAAGAATGCCATTAAAGTGCCGAATTATTTTTCATAGCACAAAGAAATTAATTTGAATTAAAAGATTGCTCTCTAAGCTCGTGCCACTCCGAGGAAGTTTCAAGATTCATATATTGAACTAAAACTTGTCACCTTGTTTCATTAAATCATTGCAAGCAATCTTCACATGACCTATTGTTAGCGAAACCTATTTCTAACGTGTCATATATATTTGATACCTTCCGCGGAGGGAGTTCGTGCATTTAATAGCTGGGTGCGTGTCACAAAAATCTTGGGAAAATCACAGGTCTGACCGAAAGGGAGTCATGTGATTCAACTAAGTTCCTTTCATAAATAAAAGTGGCGGAGACTAGGATGGTGTCTTGTGAGGGGCTCCATTCTAAAACATTACTCGGGGTTAGATCAAGTTCTCAAACAATTAGGAAAGGCTCAGGAACATAGGGTCGTTTCATAGGGATTGCGTAGTAATACTGTTCGAGACAGAGCTTAGGGCTGTCCTATTATCTGATGTACATATATACCCAGCGTGAAGGAGTATTCTTCTTCACGCAACGTCTTCTGTCTATACTCATACCTCTTGTTCACGTACTTATCTCTTCTCTAAAGAAGACCGCCGTTATTGTACCCTTCTCACCTACTACTTATTTTACCTTTACCTCTTCTGTGAACCCTATGCCTAACGCTGACTTTATACCTCCTACTCTTAGGAATCACCACCATACTCCACACCTGTAACCTACTTGTACCCAACTCGTATCCTACGGAATACCGATAACACAGTGCCTTGAGAGTTACCCCATCCATATTTTTTATTTAATCTATTCTTTATTCAAGACTATCTGGAAGCATGAGAGTTGAAGGGAGACTGGTAACCATGTATAATTTAATCTTCGAGCGCAAGTTGATAAAATTCTGGCTTTCATTTGCTTTGTTGGGTCTATTAAGGCGTCAAGTTTAGTTTAGTTTAATTTATCGTACCAGGCTTACACTCTCCATCCAATGGACATGACACGCATGGAGGACATCTAGAATACAAGTTCCTCCATTCTCCAGCAAAGCCAATCCGGTGCCTGACTTTTCCAAATACGTGCCTCACGCTAGTTACATCGGGTCGAATAGGTAGGAACGCATTCACCATGATCCTAAGACCATGTATTGAGGGAAAACCTTCGTGGGAAAACCTCAATAATTCCTCCTGTACTCTTTCACGACGAGCAGCCGTAGTCCCCCCTTAAACAGGCCGTGTAGGAATCCAACCTACCACTTCTAGAAAGCACATCCAGCACCCGACCAACTATGCCAACAGCCTGTTGAAAATCACATATCGTTCTTCCCAAATTCTCCCCTGTATTGCGCTCAACCCCCATTTGAGAGGGCTGAAATTCCGAAATCGAGAGCTCAAAACCGAGGCATCGGTGCCCCAGCTTTTGTCGTACATTGTTCGTTGTCTGAGTGAGGCTTCTTCGTTCGCGCCGTCTTTGGAATATGTCGAAAAGTTGAGAATGTTGATGTCGCGGTCGAGGTGCTTGTCTAAAATGAGGCCGAGCTATTGCCCAGTCCTGCAAACAATGTTAGTAAGGTTGAAAGCGAAAGGATTTTTCCCTTTGATTTTGTAGGGTTGTTGGTGAGTCGTAAAGTCCTCCCAGTCAAACTCAATCGGGAAGTTGTTAGAAGACTGAATAGAAGAGACACAAACTTAAACTTCCGATCTATCGTGCCGGGAACGGAACCTAGCACATGTGTCAATCGAAATCGACTGGGCCACGCTCAGCAAGCTGCCGTTGCGAAAGATGCGATTCTTCTTGGCTATCCCAGATATGCAGAGCATACTGAGCGATTACACCAGCACCACTGGAAGGTGAAGAATTCGTCTTTGCCGGCTGTTCAGGCGTCAACACGTCGGGTAGTTTTATTTAGACTGAGCTAACCGGCACGTAAGGAGCTCACGTGCTGTGCGCGGGCACGACGTTAAGTATTATAAATAAATGAAACCTTGACGAGGGCCCAGAGCAGTCTAGCGATTCAAATACGAAGTGAGCACATGGGTCTCAACTAGTATTTACATAAAAGAAAAGTACCCGGAGTCTACACTCCAAGCTGTCCATGTAGCTACCAATCGCAGAACCCCAAGCACATGATTATGTCCTGCCCTCCATTGTCAAATGGAAGAGGAGAGATCTGGAGATAAGCGAAAGGTCGATCCTACGAAGCTATGCTAAACAATCCTGGAGATATCAAAAGGATAACACAGTGGATCCTAAATCATGGTTAGATAGAGTAATTCCAGATGACAAAGGCGGTCGAAATACTGCTGAGGGAAAGGAAAAGGTCATGCCTTTCTTGAGGTCGATAAAGCTGATGTGATTGGGTTATATGTAGGGCACTAAAGTGTAATTGCGCTTCCTAAAGGACCATCATAAAAAACATAGAAATTAAACAGGAAGGTTTTGGGCTTTCACCAAAAGGTTTCCTCCCATGTAAATTAGAAAGTATGATAGACACCTGCATGGGCCCATAGGGCGCCGAACCAGGATAATGAAATCAAATTCAAATGAGTAAATAAATATTTGATACATTTGTTTTTGCCTTTCCTTGTAAACAAATCTTCCGAGTCTGAGTGGAAGAAAGTGATGTCATATTTAACTATAGTTATGGACATAGTGAGACGTAATCTACATATGAAATGCCTTTTCTGCAAAACTTATCAGTATCATTCTTACTCTACTTGTCTATTCTTTTTGAGGACCTAAGCCTGTGATATAAGCAGCACATAAAACCTCACACGCACATATCACTCCAGCCTGTAATCATAACGGATACCTTCGTACCTTGTACATTCCTGTGAAAAATCTCGGTTCTCACCTCACTCACATTCTTGAGGAACTATTCTTATTACCTTTCAGTGGTGTCTCTTACGAGCCTCCAGCTCTCACTGTAGAGCCTGCAAAGTCGAGATTAAGTAACAAAGTTCTTACTTCAATGAGGATTCCCAATTGCTTTCGCGGTCTGTATCGTCTTCATCTCTCAATACACTCCCCTATTACCACAAACATGAAGCAAACCACGATCAGATCAGATGGTAGGGTCGGAGCCCTACTTATCATCAACCCTTGATCCTGGAGGAAAAGCCATCCAGTGGGTTTCCGGAGCGTATCCAGCACCCGATACAGAGATGGCGGATTGGATCAAGTCGACCTCGACTGTTACAAAAAAGGGAGATGTGGATGAATATGCGCACCTCAAGTGAACCCGGTGTCTAGGCCTCACCTAGTTGAAGCTCCAAATTTTCGGAGAGTTTTCCTGCGCACGCAATTTCGTTGCTACCATTTTTTTTGGGTAGAAGGTTCCGTGGAAAAGGTGGCCGATTCCACGGGTAAATACTGAGCTGAATGGCTATTCATCAAGGCCAATATATCAATGATCTTACAAGTAACAAAAGAGGATAGAAGCACTGTACAAGGTGCGGCCTGGGTCAGATAGGAACCCAATATGTTAGATAGTCATAGACTCATGTAGCACAATAAACACACATCTCTCAGAAAGGGTCAGATTTTGAACTCTGGAAGAGTACTCAAATTTAGTGTTGTGTGTCACACGACTTCGATTGCGACAGAGTAAGCGACTCTATAAACATCGTCATGGTTGGATGGTGCGGTGGTACATCGTCTTGGTCGGTCTGCCAAGTAGAGCCTGGATAGCTTGGACACATATCCCACTCGAGACAGTAGATCGCTGTTTCAAATCCGGCAAATCACAACCACATTTCTCGCGGCGCTGGTATGCATGGATGACGAAGGCATGTTTGGATAACCAAAGGTTTTGAATTTCCCTTTGGTGGGTGCTAACGGAGGAGGGTCGACTGTTTGTGTAAGCGAACATACCTCATGGTGGTATTTGCAAATGAAATCCAGAGTATGAGTGTCTCTAACATCAAAAGAGTCATCCATCATATAGACAAAATACCATTCACGTGTCATAGCTAGATAGTTGAGTACAAATGATGTGGTGGAAAATGCTACGTGTAGACCTTGGTGTTATTCGTGCTGTCCGAAATCCCTCTCCGCCGATAAATTGTACAGAAAATCTCGGTCAGAGATACTGCATGGAGACATTTGCAGACTTCTGGTTAGATATTATGTGCTCAGATTTTTTTGCTCGCTAATGAAATATCTGCAATTGGTGATTTTGACCAAGCAGAATATACTCAAATTTGCCCAAGTGAAAATTCATCGATAAACTTTCCATATCCACCGGTAGAGAATGGCTAGCCTTTTCGTGAATAGGTGTAAGTTACACCATAGGTTCTAATAGGGCACCGCTGAAAAGTGTTCAGTATTGATCTCTGATGTTGTGAAATGAGCTGAAAAGCAGTCCCCCAACAGCTAAAATTGGATTAATTAATTTAAAGTATCGGGCTAAACAATTACACTTGGGATGCCTAACACTCATACTTGGTACTGGAGGACTCATTAGAACCACTAAAGCTGGCTTTATTTCACCAACAACACATCGCTAAAGGTGGTGTGTAGTTTAAAAAATACGTGATCCCGGTGCGAGTTGGTGTAGGTGTAACAGATTCTGATTAGTCAAATTCTTCAGTTCGCACCAGATAAGTGTTGTAATTATCATCCCCAAAGACTTTTGATCTAAATATAAAACACGAATTCTAGAGTCTGTGATCACGGGGAATGGAGATGCAGACAGGCTAGCTAAGGAACCCTCAGGAACCTACCTGATGAAATGGACACATCTCCCTCCAACATTAGGGACAGACCTAAATACACTTTTGAAGCCCTCACTCGGTTTGTCAGACAAAGATGTGAAGAAGCAGTGGAATCCTGGTGGCAAGATCACAGATCGAGCCGCTACGAAGAATTGGATCTCCACATGAAACGAAAACGTCCACCGGAGCTGGCACTTCCGAGGTGGGCGCATCACCGCCTTATCGCAGCAAGGACGGGACATGGCGACTTCAGAAAATAACATGAAATATTTGGCCACGAATTTGAAAACTGCAAATGCGTGTGCGGAAGGGAGAAACGTCCTTGGCATTTTGCCGAATGCCGGATTGCTCTACAGCAATGGAGAAACTTGAAGCACGAACCACCACCGACATGACGAGAGACGCTCGCAGAAAAGGGTTGGGAAAGATTTCTCCAGTTCTGAACAGTAACTAAGTGTTACGAGAGGCAAATACCACACCGGGAGGATTTATTCCTGCCGAAAAAGAAGTTTTTCAGGTCAAAGTGTTGTGAGGAAGGAAGAAAGACGCAGGGCGCTCAATTTTCTTGGAATTAATTTCATTATTTATGTTTTGCGTATAGATTTGACAAGCAGACTATGTACATATGTTGTAGCGTGTCCCGAGGGAGCATAGACCCGTATCACGCCTATTGGGTGTAGGGCGTAAGCCTGATACGAAACGAATTCAAATCAAATCAAATCCCAGAGTCTGTAAACAAGTATTGCTAAAGTGCTTGCAATTTAGAAACAGAACATCTTTTGGCGCTTAGAAATCCTGAATACCAGTATCTTCTTGACGGTTATCCTCATTTAGCCATTCTGGCTCTTCTGCATCAAACCAAGCTTCCTCCATCTCTCTTCTCTCAACCCAGTCCCATTCATCGCTGTCATCTACTTCCTTGTAATCAAAGTCTTCGTCTTCCCCGTCCAGGAAGCGTAAAGTCATGACATACAGCCATCTCTCCCAGCCCTCCTCTTTAGTCTTGATGTTATTTTCATCTTCGTCTAAGATTGCTATTTGTAGATATCTTCTATCTGACGCATTAGCGGTAGCAATATTCTCTTGGTACTTTTCGATTTTAGCAATCTTGGCTTCACTCCGCCAAAGATCTGCCTCGAGAACTCCGGAGTACCCCTTTTGCTTTCCATCCGCTTCACGCTCTACCGATGTCTGAAACTTTCGTATACATTTGTCATACAGTAATGGATCTGTAAAAGATTAGCCATATATTTGATGGTCCAGTTAGAGTGAAATGAACCTTGGCAAGAAAGACAAACCGGCAAGTTCTAGATCACTGGATGTAAAATAGCTAGGGTGTGCGTCTAAGTAAAGTTTTCGTCGGTTTTTGACCTTAATGTTCTTGCACCCGGATGCAGAAGACTTTCCTCGAGTTGTCAACTTCCCTGCCAGTTCACTTATTGATAAATGAGGCTTGGAACATCTTTGAGTTGGGGAGACAGCAATTGGTGCTTTCATTAGAGGCACAAGCTTTGATGCACAAAATATAGATTTTGAGCCAGGGTATCCGATGAGATCGTGGGAAATAGAAATAGCCGTTGCGGGTATCTTTGAGATAAGCTGGGCTCTGGCAAGCGATTTAAATTATTAGCAGATTTATGATACAATTACAGCCTGCGGCCAACACAGCGACAATAAGGTTGTTAGATATTAGAAATCATGAGTCAGGTGTAACTACCTTGTGTGAAACCTACTCTCACTAAAACGGCTTATCTGCTGACTAAGAGGTGAACTTGGATGAGGTAAGACTGACACCCATCAACAGTGCCCATTACGGACCTGGATATGAGATATTGATCTAAGGCTAGGATTCAATTATAAAATAGTGTATTAGTCGGTTTGACGGTCTGAATAGGGACGAAAGATTAACACCTGTCAGCGGTGTTCCTCTCGAACCCCCAGCTTTGACTGTGTCATCTTCATCTTGCGGCACAATTATCTAGTACTATTATATAAAGCTTGACAAGATCTGTCGAAGGCTAACAATAACTACCGAATAAGTTGGACAAAGAAATGTCTCAGGTCAAAAATAGGGACTGTCCATACATACGTGGGTTGTTTGCTTCGGCCAATGCTTGCATTCTTTAGAGCCGCACGTTATTCTATTCTTAGCGCATGTCTATATTTAGAGATCAAGAGATCAAGTCAATCATGATCAGTGTATATAGTCCTAGAATTCCGGAAGAAATAGGAATTAAGTTGTTTTTACTGAGTTATCCTTTACTTTAATTACACACACTTCGCCTGTCACAGGTCAGACTCCCAACTAGCTAACCACGATCAGATCAGACGGTAGGGTCGGTGCCCTACTCATCACCCACCCTTGATCATGGATGAGAAGCCATCCGATGAGTTTCCGGAGCGTACCCAGCACCCGATACGGAGATGGCGGATTGGATCAAGTCGACCTCAACTGTTACAAAGAAGGGAGATATAAATGAATATGCGCACTTCAAGTGAGTCCGGTGTCTAGGCCTCGCCTGGCTGGGGCTGCAGGTATTTTGAGACTTTTTCCCGCGCACGCAGTTTCCATTGCTACCTTTTTTTTTTTTTTTTTTTTTGGGTAGAAGGTTCCGTGGAAAAGGTGGCCGAATTCCACGGGTGAACACTGAGCTGAATGGCTATTCATCAAGGGGAATATATCAGGGATAATTATTCTTAGAAAAATAAGGAAGCATTCTACAAGGCGTTGTCTCAATCGGAGAGGGGCCAAACGAGATAGATAGTTCATTACACGAAAATCACAATAAACACTAAATAAAGATAAAAAATCATACATTTACAAATGTTCCACGTTACTATGCATTCTCGAAAACGTTAGGTACCCTGAGTAGATTTTGCCATGTTAGACTTTTTCTACAAGCAGTCACCCCCTTACCTTACGAGCATATCTTCACAGAAGATGTCCACCTTATACTTACAGGTCCTCATTGATAAAGTGCATTTAGGCACTGTATCAGATCACACACCGGCTTCTCTTTTTAGCACCCACAACGAAGTACGGCAAACACAACCACATTTTTCGCCGCGATTTTCCAATTGGTTTGTCTTTCATATTCTTAGACTCAGTAGACTAAAAATTCTTATCTTATCTAGTTGGGTTACGGTGTCACGGGACCAAGTACCATATTAGGTTAGTGTGAATTGAATTGAATACATTACGTATCAGGCTTATGCCCTACACCCAATAGGCGTGATACGGGTCTGTGCTCCCTGGGGCCACACTACAACCTAGGTGCATAGTTTGCTTCTCAGAAACTATTTGTAGAAAACATAGATAATTAATTAAATTTCGAAAAAAAAAACGCCCTGCGCCTTTTCTCCTTCCTCGTGGCCCTTAGTCCTGTGGAAAATTTCCTCCGGCAGGACTTAATCCTCCCGGTTTGCGCTCTGCATCTCGTAACACTTAGCTACTGTTAAGAATTGGAGAAATTTACCCCCTCCCTTTTCTGCCAGCATCTCCCGTCCACTCGGTGGTGGTTCATGCTTCTCTTCTCTCCAGTGCCGTAGAGCAATCCGACATTCGGCAAAATGCCAGGGACGTTTCTCTCTTCTGCAAACGCATTTGCAGTTTTCCCATTCGTGGCCAAACCTTTCATGGTAGTTCCTAAAATCACCATGTCCCGTCCTCGCTGCGACCAAGTGGTAATGCGCCCACCTCGGAAGTGCTAGCTCTGGTGGACGTTTTCGTTTCATTCGGAGATCCAACTCCTCATAGCGGCTAGGTCTATGTTTTAGCCACCAGGATTCCACCGCTTCTTCACACCTTTGCCTGACAAACCGGTTGAGGGCTGCGAAGGTGTATTTAAGTCCGTCCTTAATTGTTGAGGGATCTGTAGTCGTTTCAGCCGGGAGTTTCCTGAGGGCTTCCTTCGCCAGTCTGTCTGCCTCCTCGTTCCCAGTGATCCCTGAGTGGGCTGGTATCCACCTGATTTCAACTGATCTGGCTCGTCGTACCAGTCTTGTGAATGTGTCTACCACCGCCTGAGAAGATTTCGTTCGACCGGTTTGAAGAGCTCTTGCGGCTATGGAGTTATCGAGGAGCACTTTTATCGGAGAGCTGCCCGCTTTTCCTATCTCTCCTTCGAGGGCTTTTTGGGCGCCAAAGATTTCGGCATCGTACACCTCCGCCCCTGGCAGAGGACCGGCATCACTCCCAATCATCTGGCCTCCTTTGTATAAGATGTATCCCCACGCCGATCTAGCTGGTCCACATGATGAGCCGTCTGAGTAAGCGCAAACTGTCTCATCCCACAGGCTTGCTATCCATTGCTTAGCGTGAGCTGCTTCTTGCTGCTTGTCACCGCCAGTGAGCTGTCTGATGGGCTCAGCTTTTGGGAAATACAGTTTGCCGGGGCCCTCGGCCATCGGCATATTTTTGGCGCTGATCTGAAGTCGCGTGAGGTACCTTTCTGGGCACTTGAATGGCCGGTTCCTCTGACCTATGCGGAGACCTGGGCGGCTTACTGTACCTTTTGGCTCCTCTGTAGACCTGAATGCTAAAGGATGCCACGCGTCCAACCTTTGAATCCGTGCGGCAGCTAGAATTTTTCTCTGCTGTAAGATAATAGCAGATGGGGGAATACCCGACTCTCTGTGTAGCGCCGTTTTTGGTGTAGTTCGCCACACCGGTAGCGCAGCTCGAACTGCCTTCAAGATTGTGCTGTCGAGGAGATCAGTGTGCCAGCCTACTCCTGTGCCAACCATTTTGTCCCGCTGGGTTGTGATTCGGGGTGAGACCTGGCCACCACGCTTCGGCTCCATATAGTGCCGTACTTAGGACACAGGACTGCACTGCTTTAATCATCGGTCCCGGAGCTGCGCCATGCTGAACCGAATTTATCCGTCGTATAGACTGTGTTATACGTTGCGCCTTCCCGCACCATTCCTGAACGTGTTGCTTGAAGTTGAGTTGAGAATCTAGCCATACTCCCAGCCATCTCACGTACGGGGACGGTGCTATGCAGTGGCCTTGGATCTGGACAGCCAGACCTGTGGTGTTCAGCTTTTTCCTTGGCCCACCTCCAATTAACAGTAGTTCAGACTTTGCCGGGTCAAAGTCTATCTGGTTTTCGCTGGCTAATTGGACGAGTTTGTCGACTTCTTTCTGGGCTTCGGCCACTGCTTCAGACGCGGTGCTCCCTATGCTGAGTATAGCGATGTCGTCAGCGTACCCGAATTTTGTGCTCTTGTTTCCGTCTCGCATCAAGATTTCGATGTATAATAAAAACAGAAGGGGTGATAGCGGCGACCCTTGTGGGACTCCGCACTCTGCAACTTTGTCCCGCGTGGTTCCATCACGGTGTCGCACCCTTATCCTTCGTTGGGTTAGAAATGATTCTATCCACAGGCAAAGTATCCTTGGCCATCCCTGATTCCGCAATCGATGGATCAGCCGTTTGTGCAGGACCGCGTCGAACGCTCCTTGTACGTCCAGAGTAACCATGGCCGTTACCTTCTTGTATCGCATTGTCGCCTCTGCATCGTGTATGACGTAGGAGACCAAGTCAACTGCTGAGCGATCAGGCAGTGCACCAAACAGCTGTTGAGGAACGACTCGGTGCTCGATTGCTAGCCAGGCCATTCTCTTGGCTACAAGTCGTTCCAAACCTTTCCCAAGACAGGATAGAAGAGAGATTGGTCGCCACCCTTTAGCTGTTGCGAGGTCCCGTCCTGGCTTAGGGAGGAGGATGACCTCTGCAACTCGAAACATGGTGGGGAAATGTCCAAGCTGTAAACAAGCTTGAAAGAGGTTCTTCACTTGTTCGCCAATTTGCTCCCAGCACGCCTTAAGCAGCCGAACCGTGATTCTGTCCGCTCCTGGAGACTTGTCGCCTGTTCCAATGGTGCTCGATTTTACATCCTCTGTCGACAATATTGGGTTCCACGGAATAGTCTCTGGTTGTCCCGTCTCCCATGTGGAGAGATCGTGGGCTGCGTTGAATCTAGTCATCAAGATGTCCCTCAGGTTTTCTGCCCTCTCGAGTGGGTCTGATAACCATTTGTCCTCCGCGACCTTCAGAGGAGGAGGTTCTCGATATGGCTTGGATTTAGCCCATTGTATTATCTTGAATACCTGGGTGTCCGTGATGGCATTCTCGATCTGTTTTCTCCAGTGTTCCCTTTTTGCCACTTCGACTGTAGCTCTAAACCTTTTCCGGGCCAGGGCTGCTTTTTCTGAGTCGTCTCTGGATTCCATGAACTCGAGGTGCTTTTTCTTGCACTCCTCATTCCACCATGGCGCTGATTTCCCGGCTATTCTCACTGGTTTCCGTCCCACTGCCTTGCGGGCATCCCCCAGAGCCTCCAGCAGGTTCGCTACTTGGCTTTCAATTTCCAACTCGTTGCGTATGGGGCCAGGCTTGGCCCAGGCTTTGACATACTGGGCGAATTTACCAAGGTCTTGGTCACGGACTCGCAGATCCTGTGAGACAGCGTTGAGGTCTGCCATTTTTGTC